TTCCCAATTAACTTAAAATGGTAGAGTCGGAACATAACTAGAAAGAGCACTTAAAATTTGAATAAAAATTCTTTACCTCTTCAATATTAAATACCTGTATTTGCTATCTAGATTTCTAATTATTTTAATTAGGCACTCACGACGAAGCTCAACTAATATCTTATTTGCATTATTTACGATTTTTGGGCAGCCAAACTGGCTGCTGTAGGTGTTTGTGTGGGCGTTGCAGTGGGCGTGCCAGCCAGTTCTTCACTGGATTCAGCCGCCAAGATCGCTGGGTTACTCAGGTTCTCTTTTTTTGGGGGGTACAGAGTCTGGTTCCGTGTGCACTTCGTGTTCGGCGGCGATCGAAGGCGGTGCTGCGGAATTATTGTCTTGGTCTCGTAATTCAAGGTTCAAAGCGGGGCCGGGCCCCTAACCGCATTTGACCAATTACATGGAAAATGTCAAACCAAGAGAGTCGTTTTGGCCATTTTTTGCTCTGCTGGCCATTGTTAAGCTAACTCCGAACTGGAGTTTTCCCAAAAATATTACAGCCCAGGGAGATTTAAGTGCGAACTGCCTGTCAAAGGTCATTATTGTTGTTTATTTCGAGGGTGTTGAGGTCAAAGCAGTGGCGAAAAATAGTGTCCATCAACAAGCGAATCAAAAATTTGTTTTCGCCTCTCTTGTGACCTTTTTGCGGGCAATTATCAGACGAAAAAAGAAGCAGCAAAAATTACTCCATGTAAACTGTTTTTTTTTTTTTTTTTTTGGTTTGGTTTTCTAGACAATTTTCTTTGCTAACCAAACGTGCAGACCAAAGATAAACAAAAACGAAACAAAATTAAATGTCGAAGGTTTTGCACGATTGTCTTCGACCCGAAGTCGGTACAAGTTTCTGTTTTTCTGGCCATTTCAATTGACAAATGTTATTTGCCCGAGCACAAGCCCCAAGTCGAACTCGGCTCAACCTCAAGCTGAGATCCAAAAGACCTTAGCTCCAGCACGAAACCGTTTATGGTTGTCCAAAGAAAATCTTTTGCCACTTCATTCGCATTCCAATTTCAATTTCCAAAATTTGGGTCAAATTATGTCGCTCGGCGTCTCTTTAATTATGATAAATTTCTGGTTGATCTACGGCCGAAAAAAGACCCTGACTGAATGTTGTGAACAGTTAAAAAAGAGTGCTCAATTAAATAAAGCACTTACTTTTTCAGTGCTTGGTAGCATTACCTTCGCCGTTTCCTTTCGGAACTGTTGATTATGATAAATTAACCAGTTTCTACTCTGATGATGAGCAGGGCGAAATAGAAGTGGATGATAATATGTTTTGATTGGTGGCAGCTTCCTTATGCTAATCAACTTTGTCACATTGATTTGAAGAACTCAGCAACCATTCACTACTACATTATATGAAATCCGTTTAAATTTACTTTCGGAGAATCCACTTTAGACAATTTAGAAATCAACTCGAATGCCATTAAGCCGCAATTAGTTGGCTGCAGCACAAAAAGTGGTTCCACACTTTTGATTGGCCAAAAAAGCAAAGCAAACTTAATCAGTTTGGGGCATATATGCACGGATCAGACATCGAAACATGTTCGGCATTCGATTGACAAATGCGTGGCATCTCAAAACTGGAGCAAACGCAATGAGAGAATGCTCGTAGATGCAAAAAGTTGCCAACAAATGGCAAATGACAAATATTAAGCAGTGTTCACTAAATCGAACGAGCTTGAATGAAATCCATGAGTGCTTCTGCCCTATAACAAATGACAGTCTGTTGTGTTCGGCTTGTTAATTACCATCTATATACAATGTTTTATTCCTTTTAGCAAACTTCTTGTTTGCGGGGTTTTTGCCTTTGGCTGCCGAAAGCCGATTAAAGCTTGCGAAAAAGCGGTTAAACAAATTTGAATAGCTTTATTTTGTTACTTTGTATATGGCATAATTAATGGCCTGCTAGCACGAAAGGTGTTTGCTGTCTTAGATCTAAATCATTTTTAATGGCACAATTGGCTGGCTGAGAAGAACATTACTGGGCAGCATCACCGACTAAGAGTATATAAACAAATCTGTTCCTAACATGTTTATTTCGTTTGGTTATATAATTTTTACTCTTCAACAAAAAACCCCCAAAATATCCATAAATTTCGGACGTGATTCCTCTAAAACAAGGGTTATAACAGAGAAAGACAAGTTTATTGATTATATTGATGGGTGTAAATACTGTACCACCTTTATTCAAATTATTTAAAAAGTTAATGTAAGAAAACCAGTTCCCAATAGGAATATTAACGACATATTAAAACAAACAAATTTATAATTCAGAAGATTTTCATGAATTTTTTATCAACAGATCTATCGCTAATAATTTTGTTAAGAGCATCTAAGCATCAAAGTGCTCGCTTTAGTTTTAAACATTTCTTTTTGATTATAAGCCGAGCTTTGACGTCACTTTCGCATTAATTAATTATATTGGCTAGACTGCCAGCCAGTGAACGCGAAATGTCAAACAACAAATTAACTAATAAAAGACCCTCCTCTTTAACAGACTCCGATATAATCAAATGCAAACGACTTCTAGATCTGTGAACTGAAAATAGCATTATTTGAATATATGAACAGAAATTGAATATTCAAATATTGATTTTTTATTTCTCAGAGTTATCATATGGTTCTTGTAAAAATTGGCTACTTTCTAATTTATTAATTTTCGTCTGATTTTAGAGATCATTTAAGAAATGGTTTTGGGTAATTAAAAATTTATGACTTAAATAAATATAAAAAATTAATTTAAGAAGAAATAAATAGTTCTTAATGTTAATTAAATGTAAACGAAAACCTCTAATTATTGCGTTATTTGTGTTTTTTCATAGTGGTGAAACAGACACAAAAAGTAAATGACATAATAACTTTTTAAGACTCTAAATATTTTTATTTTTTTTTATAAATTATAAGGGTTTTCTTGACCTAAAGGAAAGGAAACAAATTAAAATAAAAAATAATAAGCTCATAAAACCCGAGTACCCGAGCGCTAGTTTCTATTGAAATAAAAAACAACTCTTTGAGTTAAGATCTTCGATCTATCTCTGTCCGTTTATTCAAATGTTGGCGAATCAACAACAAAATGAAAGTGATCTAGAAAAACCATAAAAACCGAGCGATGAATAAGAAACCGCACCGATCAAAACACGATGGATAAACTTGAACTTGAGCTCGGGGGCCTGGGCTCTTTTGTTAGCCGTTGAATTCGTGTTTGGTTTGCATATTTTTGTTGAGCCGCTTAAGTCATCCGCTCGGCTGCAGTGCGGAGATTCTGCGGCTCTGTCTATGGAATAGCCTCCCATTAGTCAACGAGCTGGCCACAAAAGAAGCTTCAGCACATGGGCAAGGCCTTATCACCGCCACCACCGCCACCACCCAGAGCTCCCAAAAGCCATGAAAGTAGTTCAACATTGACTCAGACTTTGCCACCGATTGTGATGCTGATGATCGTGATGATCGCGATGATCATGGTGATCATGGTGATGATGTCTGGCGACCTTCGCCTTCAACTGCACATTACAAAGCCTAATACGGTCGGCTGCCATTATGTCCGGGCATAATGCCCACAATTAATTTAATGCACATAAATCCAACATGATTTGGCCGGCATTTGTTCTCCTTTGTGCGCGTTTGCGGTCCACTCATTGTTCACACGTTCCATTTACATGGCCATTGGCGAGTATTTCCTCTGCAGCATTAAAATGTCAAATTACCCACACCGCCGCAGCATTCAATCAATGCACCTATATCAAGGCTTGAGCTGAACGACTGAGCCTGGACAAAAAGCAACAGAAAAGCGAAGCAAACAAGAATACTGAGCACCAAACACAAATCAGAGATCAAAAGTTCAGTCACGAAGCCACACAGAATCAAGCAGACTCTGCGGCGCATGTTTTTTTTTACACCCGAGCAATTTAAATTGAATATGCAACTGCAACTGCAGTTGCAATCTGAAATTTTTGGGAAATGTGTGGCTAATGTGAATTTGACTTATGGCTGTGGAACATTTTGGCCATTGCGCCTAATTTGATTATGTGACTGAAGTGCTCGCGGTCAGTTATTTATACCCCATGGCTTTGAAAATCTGAATAAAACTAACGAAAGTGAGATTTTCGCATTGCCATAGGTCACTTAAAAAAAATTTTTTTACAAATATTTTATTTAGTTTCGAAGGTGTAATTATTTGATAATTTTGATTATTTTTGTGCCAAATTTTGTCGTAAGCTCTATGTGTAAATATTTGTCAGCCCTTTTTAGTTGTTAAGCTACGTTTTTCTTTGAATGATTTAGTTGTGAAAGCTGTTTAAATGTGAAACATTTTTGTATTTAATTATTGTAAAAAAAAATAATGTTTATCTCAACAATTTTAAACCAAACAAAACACTTTTTATTAAATGTGTGTTTATAATTGTTTACATGTAAATATTTATATCTGGTCTAACCAAAATAATTGTCTTGGGGAACTCCAGAATATTAATTAGATTGAATAACCTGGCAAAGTAAATGTAAATATATGGTTTACATATTTAACAATTCCACACACAGAAAATTCTGCAAACTTAGCGAGCTTTTTTAGGTTTATTAAATTAAATTAATTTCTTAAGGCTTTAAACACAAGCTCCTTTCCACTGCGCTGTGGCCCAAGTACTTAGTATCTGAAGCGATTGTATCCCAAAGATTGCTATAGTTGGGGCTGAACAACTCACAGATACGCACGCACACAGGCGCAGATCACACGAACGACACGGACGCTGTCCGTGTGAGGCACCCTCGCGAAAAGCTCGCCTGGTGACGCATTTCCTTTGGGCCTCACACGGCTCACACGGATTGTTGGCCAAGAGAGAGAAGCTAATTCAGGCTAACAGAGAGAGCGAGCTTTTTGGCTGCTGCGATCTAGATGCGCCGCGACTGCGCAGCCGCGGCTGAAGACAATCCCGCCACAGCATCGGCCATATAAAAGCTCGCTGCGTCTGTGCGAAATTATTCAGTTAACTGTTGCGGGTTGGTTGAGACATACAAGCCCATCTTGATCGCAAAGTGTTGAGGAGCTAAACCTAGTGCAAAATGAAATCCATGGTATGTCCGGTCTGAGCTCAGTGTTCTCCTTCAAAGTGTTACTTAGAATAATTGTGCTTCAAGAACTCGATTTCAGTTAAAGTGGTTAAAAAAATAATATTTATGGTGTGGCAATTAAAAGAAATATATAAAAAAAATTTGTTGTTTGATTTAAGCAGTTATGTTCCAACTCAAAGAATAAATGGATATTCTAAGCTGTCACTTAATATATTGCATTTTAGTGTCAGGTCTTCTTAGTTTCCATTTTTTAAATAGTTGAAAAAGTTATATTCAGATAAATAATATTTAAAGCAATAAAAAACTATTTAGGTTACAAGTTTTTTTTGGTAAATTTTTGATTTAAAAAAAAATAGTTCTTAGAATCTGTAATTAAAAAAAAAGTCAAAAACTATAATCAAAAAAACCTAGTTTCTGTTACGTAAAAAATGTTTTAAAATCAATTAAACAGAATTTTTAAGGACCAAAAAGTTATAAACTATTTAACTGTATTTTTAGGAAAAAAATCATTTCAAATATATACCTATAAGAAACTGAAAAATGTACAAAACTCGACATTTCGTTTTGGCCACCTTTGCTGATTTGAAATTTACCTAAAGCATTGCGAAAACTTCAATCCACATTAAGTATACGCCGCATGCCCAATATGTAAGGCGGCCTAGGCCGCAATTGAACTTGGCTGATTGCCCAGCCAACTTTCCACCCATTGCATAATTGTCATATTCCAAATTATGGAGTGACCGGGCAGGCGGAGGCGGAAGCGTGTGCAGTTGCATAACGTGGTCAACCCCATTTGGGCTTCAATCGAATTTAACATATCATTTTCGTTTGTGCAATTGCAGCTCATTTTCGGCCTTGTGGCGATGTGCGTGCTGGTTGCCAGCGCCAGCGAGGAGGCACCCAAGAAGCCCGTGGAGGCGGCCGAGCCCGCTGAGAAGAAACAGGAGAAGCGCGGCATTGGCCACGGCCTGGGCTACGGCTACGGACCGTCGGCGGGAGGCGGCGCCATCCTGGGATCGGGAATTGGAATCGGAGTGGCCCCCGCCGTCGCCGAGCTGCCCACCCAGGTGCACACCAACACCGTGGTGAGGACCGTGCAGGTGCCCTACCAGGTGGAGCGTCACGTGCCCTACCCCGTGGAGAAGACCGTCACCTATCCCGTGAAGGTGCCCGTGCCACAGCCCTACCCCGTGGAGAAGATCGTCCATGTGCCCGTGAAGGAGATCGTTAAGGTGCCCGTCGAGGTGCCCCAGCCCTACCCCGTGGAGAAGGTGATCCGTGTGCCCGTCAAGATCCCCGTTGATCGTCCCTACACCGTGCACGTGGACAAGCCCTATCCCGTGCCCGTGGAGAAGCCCGTGCCATACACCGTTGAGAAGCGCGTCATCCACAAGGTGCCCGTGCACGTGGAGCGCCCGGTGCCCTACAAGGTGGCCGTGCCCGTGCCCGTCCATGTGGAGAGCCATGTGAAGCCCGCAGTGGCCGTCACCCACACCGTGGCCGCCGCTCCGGCCTACGTTAGCCACGGCATCTCCGGACACGGCATCTCCGGCTACTCCGGACATGGTCTCTCCGGCCATGGCATCTCCTCGTACGGCGTCTCTGGCCACGGAATCTCCTCCTACGGCAGCTCCGGCCACGGTGGCTACCTGCACAAAAAGTAGATCAATTGATGCACTGCTGTCGAGGGCCAACTGAGAAGTGAAATCGGGTGAAGGCGAGCCAAACAACAACACAAGTCGAAAGTATCCAAAAATGAGAAACGAAAACATTAAGATTCGAGCACCCCCAATCACCCTCTTTACCACGCCCAGCAACCGCCCACGTACGACTTACAAATTTAGTTTTAGTTTGTGATACCAACCGAAATTCTAGGCGGAATCCCGAAGCAGGAGAAAATCACGCGTCTGACGCAATCCCATCTAGAATGCTTGCCAAAAACCCATCTCTGGGGGCGTTTAGAAAGTGCCTGTCTCCTGGCTTCCGATTCCACCGCGTGTACAGTGCTTTTGTAGACAATCACTGAGAAATAACTGCTGACGAGTTGCTCCTTCGACTTTTTCATGTCAATTTCTTTTCTATGAAATGTTTGTACATATTTAAATAATATAAATAAAACGAAAATTAAAAAAAATGCCAGTTTCATTCTACAATTAAGGAAATTCAAAAAATTCTGAATGATTTATTCACTCATGTATGATTTAAAAAGCTGAATTGCAGAATTATCAACCATGATCTGCGAACATAAATGGAAAGCACTTTCCCACTATTTTAGCTAAGTATGTAAATACTATTCGTGCATTTTTTCCAACAAATTCACAGATTAGCATATATTTAAAGGAATCTTTATGACATTTTAAAAGCCTGATATTCATAAAAATATAAACTTTAATAAGAAACAATAAAACAAATAAATAAAAGCCAAAATAAATGTACTAAAAAGTTAACTTAAATATAAAAACATAAGTTTATATACCAAAGGCTTCAAGAGGATTAATCATTAATTGGTTGCACAGTTCATTAAAAAATAACCCTAAAACTATGCAATACAATAATGTTAAAATATATAAAGGTCTTTGGATTACGCAAAAATGTTCAAAATGTTTGTTTGGTAATCCTCAAAAAAAATTATGATGACGCAACTAAATTTTATCTCTAGTAAAACAAGTCATACATGTAGCTTTTTTGAAATACAACAGGCAGTATGTTTTTAAACGTTTCCGAGAGCGGATTAAATAAAAATAATGTTCAAGCTTGCTATAATTTATTTGCTGGGTTTCTTAGCTTTACAAATTGTTAGTGGCGATGAAGATTCTCATTGGTGCTACCAAAACAAACCTTTTAACAATACGTCTCTTGATACTACTACAAAAGATGTTAGTAATTTGGGCACCATGTTCATTTATTACCAACTTCTTTTAAGCAAACATACGGTAAGCGCTATATACTATAAAATTAGTCTGAAATAATTAAGAACTTTGAATTTCTTAGACCGACACCGTACTGGAAAAAAAGAAACGTGAGTGTTGCTCTGGCTATATAGAATCCGATGGAAAATGTAAACAAATGGAGACATTTTTTGAAAAATATTATATATATATTTGTACAATTACGGCCATTTTTATATTTATAGTCTTAGTTTTAATTGTTGTCTATATTTGGAAAAATTCTGAGGTAACCTATATTGTAAAAGACAGTGACCAACATTCCCTGGATACCGAAGTAATTGTGTAAATAATACATAATTTTACATTTTACATTTTCTTTTTTTAAGCCTATTAATAAGCATACAATTATGTTGTAAGTTATTCAATAAATTTGAGCTTTAAAATCTTTTAATCAAATTTTTGGTTGTTCATTTTTTTGCATATTATGATTGGGGAAGGGTGTATTATTTCTCCAAGTCATGGTGAAAACTGTTTAAAAAATATTTAAGTTTGATCGTTTTGTCTTAAAAAATGCACAGTGCATTTAGCTAGGCCGTTTGCAAAACCTGGCGAATACGATTTTATAACGCAACACGAATTTTTTGACATAGCCTGACAGTGAGTTGCAATTTGAATAAACTTTAAAAAATAGACTTATTTGTAATACGTCAAAAAATAATTGACATAGTATGAAGAGGAATTTTAATCAAATGACTAATAAAAAATTTGTTCAAGCGAACGGCTTTGTCACCCTTGGAAAATAAATTATGTGATAAATCGGATATGAGGAATGGGAAAATAAATAAAAACTGGCCTGTCGTCCGAATCAAGCAATAAACGAGAATTCAAGCAAGATTTTGTTATACAGATTTTTAGAAAATAAACTTTTTGTACAAAATATTTTAAAGATACATTGTTGCCGTGTTTGCAAGTTTTGCTCAGTATCACTAAGCCCTTAAATATATTGCTTTTTCGACTGCGTACATAACAAACAAATTTTATTAGAAGCTTAACAAATGTTGTAGTCAATTTTGTGGTCACAGTAGCTCTCAAACTGTAAATTATATGACCAACCCTGAAGCTATGCAACAAATATCATATAAAAATGTTTCAAGCTTTTATTCTTGTAAAAAATATATTTATAAAAGCTTTGAAGAAGATGATCTTTATGCAGGGGACCTTGTCGAAATGAATTTTTAGTATGCAGCCTAGTCCTTTGCGGAGATTTTTGTGGTTGCCATTTGGTGAGTAAGAAGTAATAAATAATAAATGAGATATGATTTCTTAACAAATAAAATGTGGTTACCTTAAATCACAGAACTGATACTAAGAAGACTAATATAAGTAAAAGTCATTTAAAAAAAATATATTTTCTTATATTACTAATTACAGCTTAAAGTTAACAGAAGCGCAAAATTTTTGAAAATCGAAATGACTTGCGCTTGCCAAACTAATGTTTAATAAGCCTAGCAATATGCATCAAATATAATAACAATACATAAAGCTCAGTTTTTGATGAAATCTTCTTTCTTAGAGAATGTTAATAAGAATTCTCTACTCCAGCTGTCTTTAATCTTTGCAAAAGCTTTCATATCTTATTCATACATGTAACCCCTTGAATTAATTTCTTATTCCTCAATTAATTGAATCAGTGACATTATATTTGTTCCCCAGAGCGGATTGCAGTAGCAAAAATGTTTAAGTTATTAATAATTACTGTTCTAGGCATTTCAATGTACCAGATGGTTAGTTGTGATGCAGAAAGGTTTTTGTGCCGTCGACAAGTGGTAGTAAGCTATACAGAAAACGTGGTTAAGCCCATGAACGACTATGGAAACTTTGCCAAATATTTCACAAATTTGGGTATACCAGCAGGGAATAAGACAGTGGTAAGCACCAAATATTAAATACCGTTCGAGTGGGTCTTCAAAAATTGAAATTCTTAGACAAAAACAAAAATGGAAGAGGAAGAAACTTGTTGCCCAGGCTACGAAAAGTTTCCGGACGGATTGTGCGGGCCCGTTGAAACCACAACTAACACCGAAACTACGATCTCAACGTCTACTTCAGAAGAACCCGATTCAACGACATCAACTGAATCAAATGAAGGGGATTCATCTAGTCCTTCTAGCTTAATTAATCCAGCTAAACATTCCAAGGCAGAAACGAAGAAAAATAGCCATAAACATCTTACGTTAGGAATAATTTTTGGAGTTCTTGCACTGATCATTGGCATTGCTACTGTTATCACTTGGCAAATTCGGAAACGTAGAAATGTGTCAATTGCTGAAGACCAACAAGTAAAATTTGATGCTGAAATGCAAAGAGCTCTTTTGTAGAACTTTAATAATTGTACATCTCTCAACACACAAAGGAAATAAGTATTTGCAAAATTAAAAGATACGTATACGGAGGAAAGACCTTTCATGTGAAGCACCGTTCTTATCAGTTTGAACAAAGTGGAAAAACGATAAATTTGAATTTCACAATAGTTCGACACGCTGAATAAAAATAAAAAACAAAGTTCATTTTTTCAGAAGATTAAATGTATATTGTTGAGGGATGATAAAAAGGCCAGCCTTTGTTCGTGCATGAATGTCGGGTTTGATTAATGTATATTTAGTAATAATATAAATAGATATTTCGGCAAACGCAAATGTTTAAGATATCTGTGGGCATTTATTTTACAAAACGTTAGATTTCTTGTAAAATATTGCTTGTGATGATTTGCTCTACAATTTGTTTGTTTGTTTTAAGCATTATTAAATTTAAAATAACAATATTGGCATTTTTCTTAAGTTTAATTCAAAAATAATAAAATAATAATAAAATCAAATTAATCATATCATAAGACACATTTCTCAAGTAACCAAATAAATAATTCATATATTATAAAGCTATAATTCAGAGAAAATAAAAATTCTTTTAATAAATAATTTACTTCATTTTTATAATTTAAAATTTTCATGGACTATCAAAACTTGATGCAAGTTTAAAATTAAAATTTAAAATTATTTAAAGTAGAATTTTCCATAACTTAAATTATAATTAATTTTTAATCAAATCTTTGGTCTGACATAGAGCTAATGTACAAGCCCCTGCATATATGAAACCACTTGACTCTCACTCCGCAAATTTCTCACATAATCTCTAAGGCACTTAAGCAAAACCAAAAAATAGCAGGTAAATTGCCAAAAATGAAAAGTGGGCTGGAGAAGAGTGACGCAACAATTAAAGCACGTGAGGTAGGAGCGTGTGCTCGGCAATCGAGAGCCAGCAACATTTATCGGCGCAATCAACTGCAATGACAGGCAGTCCAGAAAGAGCCGATACGGTACGCGTTTCAAGTTCGCTGCCTGAGTCTTTCGTTTTGGGAGAACCAGTTGCCTCTTGGATTGACCAACGCCAGCAACATTGATCTTGTCCTAACCCGAGAAACTGAGTCGTGGCTCGTGTGTCGGCCAATCGCAAGTGTATGGGGCAATGGAGAATGGCGCGACCCAAAAAGCGCAAAAGCAAAGTGAATGCAACAATAACAGCAATAGCAACCAATGCAGACGCAATCAATTAGCGATATGCTGATGACGTCGACTTGGCTGATATTATTGTGGCTGCTAACGGCTGCCTGCTTTGTCTGCGGCTGCCACATGTGGCGATTGCGTCATGGCGCCATGCAAACCGTCTAGCGGTAATTGACTTGCAATTTCTTTTGCGCGCAACTTGTTGGTTGCAAAGAAATTTTCCGAAACCCCAAATGTGTTGCCACATTTCGACAATCCCACAGAGCCAAATGAGCAACAGCCGAATGCGACGAAACCTAGATGGTAGCTTGTCTGTGTAATTTTTGGCATTTATCATCGAGTAGATCTTAAATGTGTTGCAAGCTGGGCTTACAGCAGTGCTAAAATATCAAAGTATTTATTTTTTGCAAAATTATACCCTCTTTAAAAAAATATTTTTGTTAAGAACTCTGAAATATATTTATTTATAACTATTTGGTACTTCGATTGTTTTTCATATTCTGTTTTACAATCGTTGTTTTTAACGACTTCATTAAATTTTATTACATTCAACCATGAGTTGCTTTGCATTTTGCATTTTTAATGCGTAATGTTTTTACTTTCTCTGTGCACTAATTTTCTTATTCGGTTGTTTTGTCCATTCCACTTTTTAGTTCGTTTTTTGCATACTTTTAAAAAATATATAGGAAAACCTAAAAGTTGATTGATGAACCCATATATAAGCAGATATTTAGTCTCAACCGACAACTATAAATTCTGCATTTATTTTGAAATAATATTTTTATTTTTCAGTTGAATTCTTCAGTTGCTATTTTAAAGCGCCTTTCGTATTTCCTTTGGCTAAGATCGTTGCCTAATAAACGTATTTTTGTTTTATTGCTGTTGTTTTGTTAATTACAGTCATTTAAGTGCTGCCTAATTACGCTCCGCTCTATATTTTTAGACTGGCCAAGGTTGGAGTGAAAAGTTTCTTTCGATAGTAAACAGTGTATACTAACAGTACAAAAATATTTATTCATTATTATAATTTATATGTCTTTTATACAGATAAACAAATAAAACTTTTTTCCTTTTGTCAAGATAGAAAATGCTTTTTCAGACGTATATGTCACTAATTTGAAAATTTACATATAGAGTAAGATATAAAATAATAATATTATCTGCTGATTAATCCTCAAGCTGGTACCTCTGGAGCACCCCTCGCTTCTCCATCCACACTCACACTAAATATAAACCTCGGCTTCGCCTCAGTGCGGCTGAGAAGGCAACAAAGCCAAGAGCTGCCAAAACAGATTTACCAAATGTAAAACGAAAATGCCGACAAGAAACGGACCAGCCCGAATGTGTCTACTAGCTACACTATAGCATAATGTTTATTCAATTTACGCAATTTACACCAACAACAACAACAACAACAGCTGGACATTTGATTGCCAACTTTGTTTTGGACTTTGGGTGTTGTTGTAATTATTGCCACAAAAACAAAGGGGAATGGTGACCAAAAGCTAAAATCGAAATTAAAGTCTTTATTTAAAATAGTTTTTGCCGAAGAAGTGACGACAGCATGCGGATTTTCCTCACTATATTTCGCAAAGTTTTCTTCGGAAATGCAAAATTTGTTGACTAAGTAAATGGGTCAACTATTACACCCGATTACAACTGGCTAAAACGAAGCTTGCCCCTAAGCGGAATTATTATGCTAATAAATAGTTTTCCATTGACTGGTTTTTCTGGCTTTCTCGCTTTAAAATCAGCATAAATTCGCAGGTGGGTCGCAGGCTCAACTTCCTTATTAATAAGTTTAGCTTTAAGCCTGCTACCCACAAAAACAGAGAGACTCTTAGCCACGATTTTGATTAAGTGAACGTCACGGCTAGCTGCAGATGCACAAAGAAATATAGATATTTATGTTTTTCTTTGGCTTAATTGACCGCCGCCAAAAGCATTCGTCGGCGCGTGACAAAGTGACCAAATAGCGACTTGACTTCTCGAACAATACAAATGCCCAAACAGTTTCCATTTCAAAATAAAAGAAGGCATAAACACACATACGATACGCCACAAAAAACAGAGGCAAGAGTTCAAATGCTTTTGCCATTGACCCCATTTCCTGGCTTGTTGTTTCTGAGTGTTATTTCGCCGATTGGTTCAGAGATGCGTTAAACCGAGATCGTAAACCCCGATCGAAGCCTAATTGCAGTGATCATTGAGGGGAGCGGTTGTCCGAAGTGTAAAAAGTGAGCTGATCTCAGCCAACCGATTGTAATAGGGCAGTGATTGCAGTTTACACGTCTTGTAAGTTCATTGGAATGGTCTTTAACCTGAATAGCAAACCGATCGTGGGGATAGTAAATATTTCTGTTTGCCTAATGAACCTTTTTGGGTGGCAATCTAAGATTTGGCATTGAATTTCGGGGGTTTCCCTTTTCATCTGACTGCAGATCAAGGAGGTTACAGAAAGTGAACCATTATTTATGTGTTGGCTGGCAATTTACTATACACGTTTTACCATGCATTGATTTCATCTAAAGATCATTAAGGAAAATCAAACTTAAATAATTTTCTAATTGCATCTGTAATTAAGTCATCCACTTTTTTAAAATATTTTTAAAAAATATTTTTTTAAGTCTAATTTTTTAGCAGAAACATGGTCCGTAACTTTAAGGCTACGTTGATCGTGTTTACCCCTAAAAAATCTTTCCCATTTTTCCTATGCTGACTTTTATAAAAATTAATTTCCGTCATTAAATTGTTGACAAATTGCAAGGGCCGATTTCTTGGAATTAAAATTTTCAGTCAGCTAGGGTAACGAGCCCAAGCAACGACCTTGACCAGTAATGCAATGAACCCTGTGGTGGTCCCATCCAAAATGGCTGTAAACAAGACGCGAAACGGTTAAACCACCGAGACCCAAAAACAGTTATACGAACAACTTGGCAGGTGGAAACCACAAGCGGAACAACAACCAACAACAGTAGGTGACAAAGAGCTGAACGGGACTTTGGTAAACGGCACATAAAGTGTCATAACTGTCATTTTCGCCTACATGGCATACAGCTCTACTTATTGTTGGAAGTCGTCCAATATTTAAGACATCATAAGTCTAAAATGGGAACGAAGTGGAATGAAATGCTCAAGTGCCGACAATAAATTGCTACACAAATCAGGCAGCGAATGCAAATCGCATATATGGATGATCAATCGACAGCTGGTTCAACTTTGACACCTTTGTCGGCGGATAAAGACCCTCCGAATTAGAGGAATGAATTTATGTAAAGCTTAGTTTATCGCCAAATGCGGCAAGGTCAGGCCCCAGACAATGTAAACAAACGAGCAGCAGCCTGAATATCGGCACAATGAAACTAAGCTTCAATCGAAAGATGATTTTCAAAGGCATCGCAAAACAATGGGGGATGGGGGAAGAAAAAAGAAAAAAACAAGCAATGTGTGGTATGGATATACGAAGTGAGGCATATGGTAATTAAGTCGAGGAAGTAAGTGCACTCCAAACGATTATGATGGGGCTCAGACAATGTACTCGAAATCATCTCTATTTGACGGTAGGTGGCATGCGCCACAGCAAACGATCACATATGACATAATATCACCATCAGCTGGGGCAGGCAGCCTCCAAACCCTCGTTGCCTCTCTTTCTGGTCTTCTGGCCTTCCCCATCTCTTTCTGTCGGCGGTTGGTGGAAATGTGCATCGAACAATGTGGTCAAGACATGCAACAAACGCGAATCGAAACGAAATCGAAAGTTGCATGCATGCAACGAAAGCGAGAAAAAATTTGCTATCGTAACAAGTCTTGGATTGAAAGATGTTAGGCATGATTGTAAAGTAACTCCTGAGCAACACTCACTTACGAGAATTGTTACTTAAATATGTTATATAGAATTCTTTGGTTTTGCTTTACTAAAATTTCTAAACCATTTATTAGTCTTACCATAAACCTATAAATGTTGTCTATTTTAACCTAAGAAAAGAAAAGTTAACTGTGACCACATATATATAAGAAGCTTTTGAGAACTAATATTTATACAAGGTTTATATCCTAACAAATAAAGACAATTGAAACTTTAATGTCAAGAAAAAAGATATTTTATGTTTAAGCATTGCGTTATTGTGTTGTGTTATAGAAATAAATTTAGATTCTTATAGATTTTTAAATTTTTAAAATATTTTAAAGGGTAGCTTTTTATAGAGTTAGTTTTAATTTTTTTATTTAAAGTGATAATTTTTTAGCCCAATTAGTCGTCAGATGAATGTTGAATTGTTAAAATATCAAATACCGACGCGATTGTTATGGTCTGCACCTTAAACTAGTATTCATGCTATAAGTGTGATATATTTATACACGATATGTGTGCCAAGCCGCAGCTGACTGAAGACCCATTGACATAATAACGAGGAAGGTAATCGGACTAAGACTGGACACGCCCAGGCCAGGGTCCACTTGGGATATGGTGGCGCTACTGTTTGTGGCGCTGGCGGTATCAATTACGCAGCCATTGGAAGTGGAATCAAATGGCGAATGGATTGGACTGGCGTCTCGGTTCGCCGGCTTCTTTTACTTCTGCAGTTGCTTCTGCTGATGTGATGGCTCTTTTGTCTTAGGTTATGGTTGGTGACTCGAATGTGGAGCTGTGACACAACCGAGTGACCGAGTGACACACTCTCTACATAAAATCGGGATTGGGGTCCCCAACCTCTCAGAAAAACAGGTCCGAAATTATTGGGGTTGGGCCCAGTGAATGGGATAATGGCATAATGCGAGTGGTGGAAAAGTAAAAGGATGCAGATGACAGCCAGACAGAGGATTGTCTGTGGTCAGTTGAGGAAGTGGAAAATCAGGTGACACGACACAATAAAAGGGGGTGTAATCAAACTGAGAGTGGTAAAAAATAAGAAAGACGAAGTATAAAACTCACTAGGATTTAATTAGGAAAAACTTTCAAAGTGGTGAAAGGAAAAGCTGAAGTAGATTAGTGTTTTTTTAAAGGTATGGTAAAACACAATTAGATTTTGAGCAACGATTACTTAACAACTATTTATTTTAGGTGAACTAACTTAAGAAAAAGGCAACAATACTTTTTATGTTATTTTTTCTAGCTAACTAATTAAACTCTCTAATTTAAAAATATATAATTTATTTTAAAAAGTAATATTACAAATTTTCTTAAATTAAAAAGAATCAAAAGGATTTTTCTATCACATTAACTAAACTTTCAATTCTGCAATTGCTATTTTCACTCAATTGAAGTACTAAAATTTTTACATTATTTTGCAATTCTCATTTTAAAATCCTTTAACTAAATAGAAACATTAAACATCGTTTCTAATTACAATCAATCGAAATTCCCGCCGCAGAACAATCCCCAATCACGAAGAGCTGGCAAATAATAATCCAGCAACAACAAGCACATAATCATCTGTGATTAACATGAAAACAACATTGAAATGAAAACCGCCAACAAAGCGAACAGCTCATCACTTGAAGTGGCTTGAAGGCGGCTCATCCATTTGGGTACGAGTATTATTCAATTACCAGCCAGAAATTGTTGTGCCTGCTGCTGAAGTTGCCGTTGTAATTTCTCAAGCCTTTTACGTGCATTGACTTGCGGCAGCCACAAGAAGCCAAAAAGTAGCGAAAAAGCAGCGAAAAAGCAGCGAAAAAGCGGCAACTGACGGTAGTCGAATTAAACAGCAAAATGGCACGCATCCATAGACCCTCGTCTGCTCCTCCACCATGCCCCCTGAAAATCCCGCCCCTTTCTCACCCATTCGCGTGGTCTCCTCTTGATATTGCAATCTTATGTCTGTATTTATACCTGTCTAGAGTGTTTTTCAACTTTAATGATCGTTTTGCTACGCCTACTATTTTATACAAATGTGGAACAATAAGAAAACTTTAAAAATATATTAAAAATTGTCAAAAGAACTGTAAATTATTACTATGTCTGCGCACTAATTTGTGTCAATTAATAAATAGGTTATTAATAGAAAATTTAATGGTTAATTAAGCTATAATATTTTTTGATCATCATCATCATGATGATCATCATCATCAATTAATCAAACCTGGTATTATGAATAATAATTATTAAAACATAAAATTTTAAGAGGGTTCTTATTTAAAAAAATATGCATGTAGAATATTATTTTAATTAAAAATATCTGATCTGAATACTAAACGTGAATACAAATACGGCTTGCTTAGAACTATCATTAAATAAAACGAAACAATGGGCTGGAGCATAGACTGGTAATTGAATCGTCCGATATTTTAATGATTATTATTTATTATTTTATTTATTCTAAATGCACTATAAAATCCTAAAATCGATCATCATGCTTAGCATTTAAGTTAATCTGCGTTCTACATACCACTTTAGCTTGGTCCTACTAATCAAATTTATATTAAAGGGTATGAAAAGCTTCGAATTGTTAAGCGCACCTGCTATTCTTGTCTTTATTTTTTGCGGTGACGGTGGCGCTGCATTTGGCGCTTGGCTGCGTTGACTTCGCGCCTCCGAAATCCAAAACCCAGCGAAGCCCGCGGACCACCGAAGGCAAAGTAGACAGGCAACAGCAACAACTACAAGAGTATACTATAGTGTACCGCTCACCATTCGCTGCGCCGCATGTGTTTTGGGCCATTGCGATTATTATTGGTGGTTTTGGTTTTGGTTGTGGTATGGGTTTAAGCCGCCGTCTGCTCTTCGGCTTGAGCTGCTTCGTGCATCCATCCATTCGGCGGCCTGTCTTGTCTTTTGCTTTCGATTGGGAACTATAAAAACGCGCGCAGGCGCTGCAGTTGGCATCATTAAACCGTTAACCGTCGAACAGTCTACAGCCTAGAGTGTGCGGAACGTGTGGACTAGTGATCAATAATAAACCCCCTCGATAAATCACGGGATCAGTTCTCGCCCAGTTCTCGAGTCGCGTGCCACAAGACCTGGGAAAACGGATTTTCATTCCCGTCCATCGAAGGATAAACGCAGCAGCATGAAGTTGATGGTAAGTATAGAAGTGCAAGTGTTTATGTGGTTAAAAGGACTAAGGAATATGCAACAAAATTACATTGTGAACAATATGAATAGCAATGCATTAAAACATGAAAATCCATTAACAAAGTCCAACTATCAGTGCTTCAACAATACGTTTTTCAATTAATCCCAACTTTAGAAGTACATTTTTAAAACCATGATCAAATGTCTTATGAATCATAACAAGTTCTGCATGTCAGCAGATTTATTTTATAAAGCTATTCATTTTATGGCTATTCAAGTTAAAGTAAAAGTAAAGGCAAGCAATAATTTTTTATAAATTCATAAAATTGTATAGCACTTAAAAATGTATTTTAAAAGTCTTTACATAAATTTGTAAATTTTATGTCTGCCAAATTTGATAGGGAATGAATTTAGCGAACTCCCTTGTCATCTTTTCTAACAAAAACTCCTTTGATCTACAGCGCACAGCGACATCGCTGGCTTTGGTCCTGCTCCTGGCCACCAGCTACGCCAGAGCTGAGGACGAGAAGGCCGCCGCTCCCGCCGAGGAGAAGAAGGCCGAGCCGGAGGCCAAGGGAGCCGAGGCAGCGGCCAGCGAGGACACCACCAAGTCGAAACGCGGCCTGCACCACTACGAGGACTACCACCACCACCACGTGCCCCACTTCCCGGTGCACGAGGAGAAGACACTGACGGTGATCAAGAAGGTGCCCGTGCCCGTGCCCATCGAGAAGATCGTGCACGTGCCGGTGGAGAAGCATATCCATGTGCCCGTTAAGGTCAAGGTGCCCAAGCCCTATCCCGTGATCAAGCACATTCCCTACGAGGTCAAGGAGATCGTGAAGGTGCCCTACGAGGTGCCAGCGCCCTATCCCGTGGAGAAGCAGGTTCATGTGCCCGTCCACGTGCACTACGATCGCCCAGTGCCAGTTAAGGTGGGTTGGAATGGTGGGAATCTTATTCATTCAGGGGTTCTAAATCTTTGTTTTGCCCCACAGGTTCATGTGCCCGCTCCTTATCCAGTTGAAAAGAAAGTCCATGTGCCCGTGAAGGTTCATGTGCCCGCTCCCTATCCCGTCGAGAAGATTGTCCACTATAATGTGGAGAAGCATGTGCATGTGGACAAACCATATCCCGTGGAGAAGGTGGTCCACTATCCCGTGAAGGTGCCCGTCGACAAGCCAGTGCCCCACTACATTGACAAGCCAGTGCCCCACTATGTGGACAAACCGGTGCCAGTGCCCGTGATCAAGAAGGTGCCCGTGCCCGTCCATGTGCCCTATGACCGCCCCGTGCCCGTTCATGTGGAGAAGCCAGTGCCGTATGAGGTCAAGGTCCATGTGCCCGCCCCCTATCCGGTGATCAAGGAAGTGCCCGTCAAGGTGGAGAAACACGTGCCCTATCCCGTCAAGATCCCCGTGGAGAAGCCCGTCCATGTTCACATCGAAAAGCACGTGCCGGAGTACCATGAGAAGCACGTCACCTACAAGGAGCCCGAGTTCCACCACAAGCACATCGAGGAGGACCACCACCACGCCCCCATCCATCACCACTCGCATCACTCGCATCCCATTGTGGAGCATGAGCACGAGGTGGAGCATGATTTTGCCTCTCATGATTATCATTCATATCACGGCTACTAAATCGCTGAATCGTCCTCTTCTCTCTTTCTCTTTCTCTCCTCTTCTTTCGCTTTTCTTTACAGCATTGAGAATGAACTGGGATGGCAAGCTAAGACACTTCCATTACCACAATTTCCCATGAAAATAGAAAAACCGAAGCCCACACACACACACACACATTACTGAACCATTCCATATCATGAACCATGAACCACATACCCAAACACACTTTGCTATGCAGAACGTGATAACCGACAGAGATTCAGAGAAATCAGAAAACACGACGATTAACAGACGAAACTTAGCTTTTAGACCGAACTCTCTTCTAGCCCTAAGCCATAAACAAATCAAAACAAAAAAAAAAAGAAACGCAGAACTCAAAAGGATACGATTGAACAAAAACGTTGACGAAACCCGTGAGCACTGTGAATGAGTGTATTGTAAAGGAACCTTAGTTTTAGACTTTTAAGCGACACATTTGGGCCGCACAGCCCACACAACAACCGAAAGAACACCAAAAACCCACGTCCCGCCCCTCCAAGACCTCCAACACTCGATCGGATACAGACATACAGTTGCCAAAATCCAGGATACCAGGATACGATAGGATATCAGGATATCAGGATAACCGGCTTGCTGTACTGCGACGACGATGTGGATCCTTGGATGGACGGAAGCGACACCACCTGGGTGCATCATCGATGTGGTTGCTGCTGCTGTTTTGTCCTCCAGCCGCGGCTCCTCCCTCTTCTGCTCTGGTCCACCCCGACTCGTGCACCCGGTCCGGTTCCCAAATGAGATCAATGTAACCCGATCCCGATCCCAAAAGTGGGATTAGGAATCCATCAGGATACAGATCCAGTTGTGTGCAGCGTCCCAGCGTTGTGAGCGTGTGATAAGACTTCTGATAGCGTTTAAGCCTGTGCGATATTCAAGATATAGGGAGACGCCTATTTAAGTCAGTTTGTAAACGATAAACGAACATGTATTGTATTAGTTTTTGTAATATTCTTCGCTACCTAGTTTGTAAAATACGTCTATTGTAATGTTGCTTGTTCGCATAAGCAGACGAAACGGATTTATAAAAAGTACTTAATTTACCAAATATTTTCTGACTCTGTGTAAAAAAGTTAACAACAAAAAAATCTCATACAAAATGAAGCTGATGAATGATACACAATTAAATAAATGAAAAACCAAGTGATCAAAACGAATATCAAATTGTTTTTATTACAATAGTATAGTATATACCATAGCAATCTACAATTGATTGAAAACGTATTTGACAGCAATTTAAATAGTAAAGAAAATCTGGGAAATAATAAATATTAACTTAAATGGCTACAAGATGCTTAACAATAAAAACAAAAACTTTGAATATGTCAAAAATTTCATAGAGCATGGTTTAACTGAGAAACAAATTCAAAGTTTTTTATTGACGGGATATGTGCCATTCGTATTTATTATCATAAATATTATTTACTTTAAGATATTATTTGGTTGCAAAGTAAACACAAATATTAGATGTTTAAAATTTGATATATTCAAGAAATAACGTAAAACCAATTAGGACGGAAAAAAGCAAGGAAATGCAATTTTTGGGCAACTTTATTTAGAAAATGCGCAACTCTTAGCTAATTTAACTTAATCTTAAGCAAGTTACAAAATATAATTCTATTAAAATGTTTATTAAAAAGTGTGTAAATTAACTTTTTTTTGCCATGAATGACTTAAGCTTTTAAATACTAACAGCGAGACTACTACATGAATCTCCTTTAGTGTAATTTTCCTGATTGTTATAATTGCATTTTAACCCCAACATTTCCCACATTCTCCACCTATTTGCATTGGCCAAATTCACTTTCAGTTAAAGTCGCTTTACACACAGACAGGCAGGCATGGAGGGCGAGGAGCCGAATCAAGTCGTTCCTTCATTGCCCATAAATGTCTTATCTAATTTTCAAATGAGGTAAACATCGCCTTGCATTCATAATTGCATATTCAAAGTGTCTCGCCCACAGAAAAGACAGCTAGACATTGGTAGTTTGGGGATTGGGGGATTGGGGTAATGGGGGTTTGCGGATTGAAGGACTGGCAAGACAGTTGAACATGTTTATTACATTTTCCACACCATCATTTCGCTTTCCTCGGGCTCGAGCTCCGGCTATCTGCACTCGTGTCCATTTCCTAGCGTTTACTTTGCGGTGCGGGCATTACTTTTTATTAGCACCAAGCGACGGGAGCTTTGGTTTTTTCGGTCTCTGTCTTGGTTTTGGTTTTGTTTTCAGTTTTTGCACTCCTTTTTTATTGTTGTTGTGCTGCCGCAAAGCCTGTTGCAGCGACCACAAAGATTGGGTTTCAATTTGCATTTTCGGCTTCATTGAAGCCGCTGCAATTTGCAGAGTGGGTTAACTAAAGTGGGCCATGGATTTATCACGTTTTTTCGCCAGTCGGTTTGTAGGACATGTGCTGCTAACCGTTATTTGAGCCAAAGACCCATAGACCCGTAGACCCGTCGGAGTCGAGAGCTGTGAGCTGTGAGCTGAGGCACACAGCTCTGTTTTATTACCATATTGGGGCTAACTCTCTTGGTGGCTAGTTGTTACTGGTAGCTTTTGTTTATGTAACTGTAGCGCTTGCAGTTTATTGATTATGCAATAAATAATCGCCAGCACAATGCCCGAACTGCGAACTGGTGTTGTAATCGTCATCCTCCCTTCCCATTTTCCAGCCGAATGTGTGGCTAATGCCAAAAGAATGGCTGCAATAAAAATCTGGCTAATGGCTTCGATGTGGAGCCGTGCTAGCACTTCATTAATTTAGTGGTGCCGAAGTACAGACAGTCTACGTTTAAAGAAAAATTAAATTGAGGAGAAACACTCTTTAAAAAGTCGTTGAACATGTTGTATCCACTATTAAAAAGTAACCATAGGTTGAATAATCAAGCACTTGAGTTAAAACTGCAGCACTCCTTTTGATCGGTAAAATGTCTTTGAAAAATCCTACTCTTCACTGTTAATTAATCAAAGTATTTTTGTATGTAGAACGATCAAGACAGTATTGCTTATTTTTTAGTTTAATTTAGTACTTATATAATTTTGTATTAGAGACCCCAATGATATTGCCCAATCACCACTTTAAAAGAACCCAAACCACAGACGTTGGCATGGCTTGTAGCGAAACCTTAGACAAAACGGTCTTAAGCAATATAAAAGAAGAAACCATAGAGATATTTGTTTGCAAATATGATTCGGCATTGACATCATATTTCTTAGTTGGTATCGAAGCGGCAAGTGGAAATTTGAGACTGAAGAAATTTGTAGATTACTGGGTCAACGCCTCCAGTTTTAAAGTCGAGCCTGCGCAGTTTAAATCGTCTGGCCGGGATTTTCGTAACAGTTTTTCAACCGGGCTTATTCAAATGATAGCCAACTAAACCCGCTCCGTTTGGCGACGCCAGCCAAGTGGAAAGTGAATGCGGGAAACATTGCAGACAACATGTGAGTTTTCAGTTTCAGTTTCATTTCATTTTCTTTTCCACAGTCCCGAAGCTTGGTTTTCTCTGTATTTGTGTTTGTTGGACATTATGTGATGTTAGTGGGCCAACTTTATGGCCGGTTCGACGATCCCAGCGATCGCAACGCGTAATCGCCGGCAATTTGACGGAAAATGTTTGAAATTGTGTGTAAATTGTAATCAAAAATAGCAAAATTAATAACACGCCGCTGCTTGAAGCTTTAAATGCTCTGGTTATGCAGCAAATAAGTAAATAGGAGAAATGTTTGCCAAATAATTATGCAATCAAACTTTTGATATAGAATGTTTTAAGCACTCACTTGATGTAGGGAATATTTGCTGGTATATGATATTTGGCTCCCATGTCGAAATCCTTTTCCGATCGCAATACTGGAGGCTTTATACCAGAATACTTTTCTCTGGAATATAATTTTAATTAACAAAAACATGGAGATTTGGTAATAAGCGTATACTCTTACCTTAAGTTCCAGTAGTGACAGTTCATAGTTCGTTTATTCGCATTGCCACTGAAGACATCATATCGCCAATTGTCCAAAGACAGAGCAAAAGGCAAAAAGGCCACCTGAAAGCAACAAAAAAAGCGTGTTTTACTAAATTTGATAACTTTTCATCTTTTTAAACGAAAAACAGTTAAATTTGGCATTCATTAAGCAATGTCACTGTTTTGAGAAAATATTTAAATTTCTCTATTTTCTTAGAACCTACTCTCCGAAATCTATTAAAAAATATCTTTATATATGTCTTAATTTTAAGGCCTGTAATAAATTCTACTATAGCAAGCCCAAGTCGTCGTCTGGTTTATCATATATCCGGTGAATAATGCCGTGCTCGTCATATTGAGAAATCTTTCGTAGCTTTCGTAGCCATGTGGCGATATCTCTAAAGTTATTTAGCTACGGAAATACTCTGAACAATGTTGTCTCATTATCAAAGCTGAAATATTCTTATAAATGCATCTGTATAATGTTTTCCCTACCTTGTCAATGGCCATGGTGAACAGATAGTTAATATCGTAGCTGGACTCATCGAGGGACCTTTGAAGAAGTCCCAGGGTCTGCAAGTGCCTTGGTGTGGATACTGAGAGGCCAATGGCATCGCCCACAGCCTGATGAAAGGCTGGATTGGCGCCATTCCTGAAGATTTTGGGCAGGTGACGGTACTGCAGGAAGTACTGAATGTGTGCCATCTCATGATGCACACTAATCAGACTGCGCTGATTGATGTCGGTGCAGATTTTCACCCGGAAATCGTGTCGATTGCAGAAATCCCAGGCGGAGGGCTCACACAAGACTCTTCTGTCCAAGGGCTGCTCAAAAACGGAGTTGCGATAGAATTCCGGACCCACGGCGGACATGTTAATGGACGTGAAGAACTCCTCGGCCAGCTGGAACATCAATTGCGGCGTGTAGCCCTGCTCTACCATACGCGGAGTGACGTCGATCAGCTTGCGACCCGGATAGGGTATCAAAATGTCCAGCACATTGGACCACGACTGGCCGTACATGTTGCCCAGAATGTGCGAGGGTATGGGAGCTATGCGGTTGATGCGATCCGGACCATAATAGTCCCTCAACTTCCGGCGAACATAGGCATGCAGTCCCTCGTAAAGCGGTCTAATCTGCTCCCAAACAATGTCCATGTCCTGACGAAAGTTACCCGATTCGTAGCCCAAGTACCAGTACTCCCCGCCATTCGTTACATCTGTTGGGGATAGAATTTTAGATTGGGGCTTTCCTTTATTGGATACCCTACTCACTATTCACGTAGGCCACCTCTTGCATCACGTCGATCAGCTGCTCGTAGCTATCACGCATCCCACGTCCCGCCTTCCTGTGGTACTCCACCCAAGTGTGCTGCAACTCATCCCAATCCCTGCTCTTGGCCATTATGTCCTTCAGCTGGGGAATATAGTGAAGATCGCACTGGAAGGGCTGCTGGTAGGCACAAATCCCAGCGCTGTTGTACAGGAATAGCATCTCATTCAGCAGGCGGTTGTACTATAGAATACATATACTTAAGAAAGTGTTTTCTATAAAAATCACAATTATTTTACCCTGTCCAAAACATCCAGAGGCAGAGCATTAGGGCCTACTTCAGATTGCAGCATCAATTGTCTATACAAACGTCGATCAAAGATGAGGTCCTTGTTGATCCGCTTGGATTGCTCGGCAGTGATGCGCTGGAACTCAACATATCTCTGCTGAGCATTAAGCTGGTGGATTTAAGAAGTATTTATGATGACACAAATTTTTTAAAATTTAATTCCTTTCATTAAAGAATGAATTGGAAGACTATAATTTGTATTCTTAGCGATTCAGATTTTTTTGAATACATGTCCATGCCATTTAATCTTAGCTAAGTAAAGAATATTAAATAATAAATAATAGCAACAAAGGTAAACATTTTAAGTATTCAGTTGGTTTATTAATAATTAATTTAAAATAAATGTTATTATAGCAAAATGTTTGACCAGGAAATGATTTATCAACAACGGGAGATTTTTTTGGGACATTGTTTTAATATAATCTTAGATGCCTTGGTATACATAAATTACAAACACACGATATTAATATGAACTTTAAGATTAATACAGTAGTAAGACACAAAAGCAACTCATATGTCTACCTTCGAGCAGCGATTAGGCCACACAGAGCGTGGTTGGGAAAACGCAGAGACTACAGCGCTTTGACATTGGCATGTCTGCCTGGGAATCTGACAAGGCGATTCGACCTTCAGAATGCGACTTTTCTGACTTGTTCGAGTGTGCGTGAGTAAGAAAACTACCAAAGCGAACTACCATGAGAAAACTGCACCATTACCACCACCACCACCACCGCAAAGATCGCGTGCCGTTCAACCACAATTACGCGATGTATTTACTAGTACTAGTACTATAACTCTTATTCGTATTTGGTTAAAAACGCTCACTCACCGCTTCCGTTTGGGTAAAATCGTTGACGTTTGTCTCGAAGTTCCACTGGGCAGCCACGTTGGCGGTGCACTCCAGCGATCCTTTCTGATCGGACTCCACCAAAAGAATACGCAGTTTCTCCAACTCCTGTTGATAACGACGATCCTGCTGATACCGCTGACGTTCCAAATAACCTTGATTCAGGTTGAACCGATCCTGATTCGGAAGGAAGGGATTCTCGAAGCGATTGCGATTGTTGATGCCCACAAACTCCACATTAGGATTGTTATTGTAGTTGAACTGATCGTTAGGATTGAAATTACGTTCTCCTTGAGTGGAATAGGGCACATCCGAGTATCGGTTATTCAGATTGGGATCATTGCCGTAGCTACGATCCGTGGTACTGGAAACGGGGCCGTAGTTGTGGTTGGAATACCTATCCCCACTGAACGGTGAGTCACTGAAGTTCTGGCGGGGCGAGGGATAGGAGTATCCGATCCTCATACGTTCGTCATTTGTCTGGCCATACTGTAGTGGAAAGGTCAAGGATTAAGGTGGCAATCGGGCACTGAGTAAATATCTTTCTAAAACCAAGAATGTCTGATGAAAATGTTCTTATTTGTTATTTTAAGTTTAAATTCAAGCTAGGTTTTTTCAAGGCCGTGTTTAGTGAACTATTTCTTACATTTGGAAATTTTTTTCTAAAATCAAGTGTTATTTTTTAAGTGTATTATGGTTGGGTACTTCGACTTGGTATAGCAAGCAAATTTTTTGGTTTTAGATAGAATCTATTTCAGTTTGAAGGCCCCACCCTAAAGTCGTCTAGTCCATCGTCGGTATTGCCACTTCTCCCCTCATCGGAGTACGGAGGTCCGTAGCGCTGATCGCGATCCCGATCCGCTCGAAGCTGGGCGGGAGTGGTGGCCACATTTGGTGTGTACCCATTGTAGAAAACCTCCGGTTGGGGAGTGGGCAGATTCAACTGGGGATCGGCCCAGCTGAAGCTCAGGCCGAGGCAAAGACAACCAAAAACCGAAACACTGTGCATTGCGTTTATCTTAAGATCTATATTCCACACTGCCAAGGTCGCCGCTGACAGCTTAGTTATTAACTCTTTCACAAGCAATTAAATATTTTAATTGCCAGCCACTGGCAGTATATTTAACACACAATATCACAAGATTCTACGATTATTTTGATTTATTTATTAAAAATCTCTCTATGATCCTTGGTAAAGTAAGAACACTTGCAACAATGGAAATCTTTCCGTTTTCACTTTCACTTAGCACACGATTTCCTAAGCGATTTTCGGTTTATAGTGCCGCCCACGTAACGTCCGGTAACGCGTCTAAAAGTCTACTGACTAGACAGTAAGAATTTTTTTCGAAATTACTTGCCACTTTTTTTTCGACTCGAAAATGAATTCAAATTTGAACGCAGTCGCCGTTGTCGTTGCAGTTGACGTCGCTGCCAACTTCTCTATATATTTTTGTATATTCGTGTGAGATAATCGCAATTAGCACTGCCAGCGACAACAACTACAATCGCATCTTCCACAAACCTGGGAACAACAATGAGCTGGTGAGAGAGTGAGTAGTATTAGTATGTAAATGTTTTTGCCATGCATGTTGGCCATTTAAAGGGAGGGTAAGGGTGCCCTTACAGGTGCTCATGTATGTACTCGCGAACTTATCAGGGGAAAAACTCAACCGCATAAAAATAATGGTCGACTGTGAGAAAGTACACGGCATTTGAGTGAACTGCCTGGGGTTGCAACTCACTCGAAATGAGATAGAAGTTCCATAATATCTAAATTCACAAACAAAAATCAAAATTCAAAAAATTTTATGTTCTATTCTACGATTGTAGATTGAAAAATTGTTAAAGATTTAGCAGTAATAAAATTATTTACACGAAAATTATCAATTTATTTATTTGTATTGTTTTTATTTTATAAATGAAGTTCAAACTGCTTTCAGTTCCTAGAACAAAATGGTAAAAAATATAAAATATAGTGAAATACAATCAGTAAAGCAACTCCAAGCCATTGCCGATAAACAATTTGCTTTGCTTTAGGTTTAGATTAAGCTCTGCCAGCGCTGACGTACAAGCAATTAGCATCCACCCGCATTTGTAGAGTTTTTATTGTCGCTCTTGACCCAGCGAAATGTGGAAAATGTGATTTGACTCATGCTGGCAAATGCTAAAAACCTGTGTAGTTGATGCGACTGCAGCGAATGCGTTCCACATGAAACTCAACATAGCGACAAGAGCAAATCACTATTTTAGCACCGGTTAATGGGCAGAAATAAATGACTCCTGCTCCCTCTAAAGCTTTACACATTAAACTGATATGTATAGTAAGTAATCAAGCAAAGCTAAATAAGTCTTTAAATTCTGTAAATGTAATGTTCGATTGATGTATTGAAAACTAAATTAGTACCCCAGAAATTGCCTATTCAAAAATAAATAGCTTAGGGTCGAGTCATAAAAAATTAATTTAAACAGCAAAATCAGAAAAAACAATTAAAATGCAGGGTATTGGCTCTGATTTTTTCCACCCTCGCTTGTGTAGTGTGCATATTTTGCAAACGCTCTTGACCCGACGGCATGAGAAATAGTTGTGACTCATGTCAACCGAACGCTAGAGTACCTGGTAAAGATCGAAATGGGATATAGAAATGGGGAGAGAACTATCCACAAAGATGTTAACTGGGGTTGCATGACTCTCCACCCCGAAATGAATTGAATGACTGGGCATGCTGATTGATGCCTTGATTGCCAATCCACTGTCATACCAATGAGAATGCATATAATATATAATAATGTGTGGGGAGATATGTGATTCAGGCAGTAATTAGATTGGGATCTGCGAAGTCTATCTGTCTCGAATATGAGCTCATAAATATTAGACATTTTATGATGTGGTTGGCTGCTCCGTGATTTTGTACCTGGAACTGATCCCTGCAAAGCAAAACCATATTTCGGCCAAAAAGCTAATTACCAGTCAAGGTCAGGCTGGGTTCTATTAGCACTGGGCCATACCAGATCTTATACAAGTTGTCTGGAGTGCTCAAAACCGTGGGAAAAAAGCGGTAAGTGCCTGTAAGTAATTAATTTACACGAGTGAATAGTTTGAGTAAGTCAATACGCCCAGCGAATCGCTAACCGCTTAGCATGACACACATCAAGCACGTACTGTAGTAACTTTTTATTTATACTTTTTTAACCATAGCCATTTGCATGGATTTAATAAGTGGCAATTGAGTGAAGAGCCCGCGAGAGTTATTATAATCAACTGCATTTTAATTACAGAGCTCCCTTATACTATGCATTGCCTTATATTATTTCCGGTTATTTAAGGTAAACAATGCTGTCACTATGCACAAGTTAATCATCATTAAGAAGGCGTTGACTGGTTCGCATCAAATGGGAACCCACCGAACTGTGACTCTCCGCATCCCAGTTTCATTTCCTACAATTCAAGGACTTTTTAAAATCATTAAAAATTCCTTGTGATTTATGCAGATCTAGATTAGGAATTGCGTCCTATGTTTTCTTGATAGTGTTTAATTTGTATAAAAATGTGAAGATAAGTGCACTTTCACAATGATCTTTACCAAGAATCAAAACTTTAAATTGGAAACAATTTTGTTGACCTTTTATTTTATTGTTCCGCCAATAGCCACTAAGATACGTCCGTATTGCTGGAACTAGTGTCTAGTCTTTCCTTTCCTGGGGCCTCCTCGTTCGCATCGGGTTTGATGTGAAAGTTGGTATAGCCATATCGATCGCGCTCCCTGTGAGAACTAAACTCGACCCTTTCGACGTTGGAGAGAGGACTGCCCGTGTTCCTGAGCCACTCCTTCATCACGTCCATCTCGGCGGGGCGACCCTCGATGTAGCCCTTCACGGTTCCCCTGCCGGAGTTCATGCACCAGCCCCGGAGTCCCAGAGTTTTGGCCTTTCGCAAGGCATGTCGCCGGAAATTGACGCCTTGCACCTTTCCGAATACCTCGAATTCGCAGGAGAAGACACCTTCTGACACCATTGCGGAAAACTTCGGTTTGACAAAAAAACGACACAAAAGGCTTGTACTTTTGGCGGAAACAAAAAGGTTCAAATTTCGGTAACGAAATACATTTACGTTACAAAACACATTTTAAGCCGAAGTTTGTTGACTTAAAACAAACAGAAATTTTGACTTATGGTCATTTTAAATAGGTTATTCAAATTAATTCCAATGCTGTTTTGATTATTATTATTGTTTTATTACTAGCAATTGAACAGCATTTTCTTTATCGTTCTTTGTTTATGGCATACTTTTAGGTTGTCAAAACCAAATAATCAATAAATATTTCTCAGCATACATTTGGGAAGTTTTTTTACTTTGAAGGCTAATATAATGTTTTATTCATTTTAGGGATTAGAAAGCGATAAAAGCTCTTGTTCATATTTTTAATATTACTTAAAAACCAAAAAATATTAAAAACTTAATATTCCCTGTGAATAAATATCTGAGTACAAATTTAATTTTTTTTAATATTTACAACACAAGATTCAAGTCCAACCTACATCCAGGTTATTCTGTATATTTTGCTGTTGCAACCAAACCTGAAGCGGTTTAAAGTACGTCAGTAAGCCATCTATGCTGATTTCAGGCTCATCCAGCAGCTCCTGCAGTACTTCCCTGTAGTGAACTGAAGATCCCAGGGACATGGCCTTTTGGAGAATCTCTCCAATGCCACGCTGATCAGATAGATCGCACAGATCCAAAGGTTTCCTGGGATTACCATCTTCAACCTGCCCTGTTTTGGTGCAGAAGTGTTTCAACAATTGGAACTGCAACACAATGCTCAGAAAGTGACTGAAATATATGGTAATTTAATTTATGTATTTAAATATGTGTGTTATTCTACCCACCTGGCATACTGGTCATCCACCTCCATGAGCAGCTTTGCCGGCACATCGAACTGTTCGTTGGTCCTTTTCGTTGGAGCTGCAGCACCTGTATAGTGCTCCGTAAAGCGCCAATAGGCCTCATTATCATCCGCCTTAATATGTCCGCTCAGCACTTCGATTCGATAGCGATCCAGGACATAGAAAACGGGCAGGAGGAACACAACCCGCAGTCCCTGAACATACAGGCGATTCAGGCGTGCCGGCAACTCCTTCCACTTGTCATCCCTCAGTAAGCCCAATTTTCTGAGGAAACGCGGCGAACTGGCTGCCAAGGAGAAACACTTGCCAATGGCATCGCTGAAATTGGGAAAGGGCTCCTCTTGCAGTAAAGTGGGTTGAACCGAGGCAGCTCGATAGTAATGCAGGTCCGCCTGTGCCTCAAACATGTTGAAGAAACGCTCCTCGTCGTTCAGCGGACAGTAGGTAAAATTGGTTCTGGGCAGGGCATAATATCGCCAGGCTTTGTGCCAACAGCGATCGTCGTCATCGGAGGATATTTTTTGGGCATATGTCCAGAGGGAGCTAAAAGATTTACATTTATGAGGATATATACAGAAGCGGTCAAGCTACTACTTATTTTGCCCGAACCTTTATATATTTGGTTGTTAACTTACTTCTCCAATTGGGGCAGACCCAGTGCCCTAAAGTACTCGGCCACATTCCAGAACACCCTTTGAGTGGTGCTCAATCCCCGACGATGCAGCTCTTGGGTGATATTGGCCAAGCCCGTTTCCGGCGAAGGCAAATCCACATACCATTCGGCCTGAACCCTCCGGAAAGCATTGCCAATGAAGACCTCTGCCAGATGTTGGGGATAAGGTCTGTTCCTGGGCACCAATCTCTCGCCATGCATCTTTCTCAAGGAACCCCTGACATGAGCGTGAAACTGAAGAAATAATGGTCTCAAACCATGCATTATTTTATCCAACAAGGCCATGGTCTCCTGAGCATTTAGCTCCAAGGAACGAAACCAATAATCCTCGGCACGTGCATATCCATTCAGCTGGGCCGTCTTTTTATACAGATCCATGAAATCGACAAACTGAGATCTGGTGGCCAAGCCCGTACGCCTTCGCCACTCAAACCAGTAATATTCAATCTCTTCCAGATCACGGCTTCCTTGAACTATCGATTGGACCTCTGGTATGAGTCTCAGAGTGCAATTCTCCGGCTGCCTGTATGCACACAGCTTGACATTATGGTAATTATCACTCATATTGGAGGCCAGGGCATAGACCCGCTCCAAATCTTTAAGTGGCAGTGCCTCATAGCCCAATTGTGGGAATTTAGAGAGCAGCCTCCTTTGGTGGGCATTCCCCAAACCCAACCGCTTGAACTTGGCCTTGCGGGTGGTTAGAGTTCTTACAAACTTTAGTAGCTTTTCATCGGTGACCTCGATCTCCAAAAGAGCCACCAAATCATTGGGTCCGCGCAATTCATTCAACAACTTAGCCAAAACAGCCTGATCATAAATAACAGCGAGTTGTTGATTGGTTTTATTTAGAAAAGAATCCAGTTTAGGATCAGGCGGGGATTCAGCCTGAATAAATCCTGCCAGGAGCTAAATAATATGAGGTAAGGAAAGTTCAATAAACAATCTCAATAATTTGACTTACCAAAATCGCTAAACATATCCCCATATTCCCACACTTTCTAAAAAAATCACTTTCGCAACACAGTTTATTAGCTCATTGATATTCCCGGCACTTTTCTACTTTAACTTTAAAGCAAACGTTCTGCGCTTGCGCAGCTCTCGAACGCAACTGACTTGGGCCAACGACAATCAACATCCACGGTCAGTGAAGCAAGTTGGTGGCTGACTGGGCGCCCAGTAGGCCATTTGTAATTATAATGTGTTCCACTTAGCACACACAGCAACGAGTTCATTCAGCAAATCTAGAAACTCCGTGCCTGTCTCTCTATAACTCGTTCATACAAACAATTATAAAAAGCTCTCGTGTTTTATTGGGGGTTTCTTACATTTCTTGGAAATACGCAAGCCTGTTATGTAGCAAGATGTTAATTATTATTTTATTCAAAAAGCTACCAAGTCAGATCAAGATATATGTTATAGTTCCTTCCTTAACACAATTTACTGCATACTATAATAATGCAAGGTTTAACAAGTTTTTTAATAACATAATTCTTTATAGGCCATTTTCTTTTTATACTTTTCATCAAAGTGAATTAAAAGTAGAAGCAAGTTTTATAAATTTAAACCAGTAAGGCATTGTAAAACTTTATTGAGCAAAGAAAAGTGTGAAAACACAAAAATCATTTCATTCAAGAAGACACACACTCTGAAATTGAAAAAATAGAATTAATCAAAGTTTTAGAATAATCTAAACAGTCCAAACTTACTATCTGAAGTGGTCCAGCCAATGTGGACATTGTTTTTGATATTCTCCGCCTCCAGCCAAACGCGCAGTGGCTCAAAGTATTCGGCAATGGCCTTTCCGGTCATGACACGCTCTCCGTTGAAGGCTTCCAGTGCATCGGGCCAGGGTTTCGAGGCGCCCATGGACAGCATGTTGCTAAAGGGGTAATAAAATATATCAAATCATAAAAAATACTATTTGCCAAGACCTACTGGAAAGCAGCTCCAGCTGCAGCACTGCCATAGATGTCACAATTATCCAGGGGCAGCTCCGGATTGTTGGCATCATATTGGCCAGCCTTGATGCAAGCGGACTTGTAGAACTGGAACTGGATGATGAAGGAGACCAGGTACCTAAAATAAATATAAAATAAATTAAAGTTAAAAGCCACATAAACAAAAACAAGTAAAACCAACCTTAAGTACTCCACATCCGCGGATACGTGATATTTGGCCGGGGCATCGAAGTCCTTCTCGGTGCGCACCACTGGTGGCTCAATGCCGGAGTACTCGTCCCTCAGCTTCCAGAAGGCGCAGTTCCAGTTGGCCTTCTCGACCTCACCGCGGAACAGCGACCAGCGGTACTTGTCCATGGTGAAGGCGAAGGGCAGGAACACGATCTTGTCCAGGGCGGTGAGGAAGAGCTGATTGATGCGGGCCTCCTCGTCGCGAACATAGTCCTTCAGCAGGCCGATCTTCTGCAGATGCTTGGGCGTGGACACGGACAGGGAGAGGACATCGCCGACGGCCTCATGGAATCCGGGATTGGCACCAGTGCGGTAGACGAACGGCTGGTGCTGATACTGCAAGAAATACTGAATGTGTCCCAGTTCGTGGTGCACGGTGAAGAGCTGATCCTGGGTAACACGGGTGCACTGCTTGATCCGCACATCGTCGGTGAGGTAAAAGTCCCAGGCACTGGCATGGCAAACCAGATCCCGGCCATCGGTGGGCTTTTCAATGATCGACTTGTCCCAGAAGTCCCTAAAGAAAATTACAAGAAAATTCTATAAACTCCGAATTCAAAAATGGTTACCCCCCTTTTGCCTATTTTCTGAATTTTTCATGTTTACTTACTGCGGCAGTTTGGTGAGGTTCATGGAGGTGAAGAAGTCGTCGCCCATTTGGAACATCTTCAAGGCAGTGAATCCCTGCTTCTCCATCTCTTCGCTCACATCGACCAGGGGTTTGTCCGGGAATGGTGATACAATGTCTGCGATTTCGGACCACTGCTGTGCCCACATATTTCCCAGAAGGTGCATGGGAATGGGTCCCGTCTCGGAGACCACAGATTCGCCATAGTGTTTTCGCAGGCGGTAGCGCACATATCCGTGGATCTGCTGGTAGAGCGGACGAATCTCGGCGAAGATGTCCTCCAGCTGCTGCTCGAAGGTCTCGTCCTCATACTCATCCAACCAAGCCTCGGCGCCAGAAGTAAAGTCTGATAGGAAAAAGGTTTTTATTTTTATATACTTTAAAACCTTTTGTTATTTAACGATTAAGTTTTTAATCTTGTTTTTTAATTGCCTTGCATACCCGAAACTATTAACATCAACTAATTTGATTGACACATAGCAGTGCAATTATAATTTATCATCGAGTGAAATATTAAAGCAAACAGTTTTCAAATTACATTTGGGTAAAACCAAAACGCAATTAGTTATTTTTAGATCAACTTCACTTAAATGCATTTTTTTAATGACAAATTGCACTGCAATTATAACTTATTACCTATGGAAATAAATATGAGTCCAATATGCTACTTTTTAAGTTAATTTATAGATTTAAAGGTTATCAATTTATGGTTTTATGATTTTACAGTTTTATAAAAATATATACAAATTTTAAAAAATCACAATATGGTTTGCACTTTAAACATTTTTAATGTAAGGCAAAGGGCAATATAATGGGAAATCTATTTTATAAATTATTCAAGATTTCTAAAATCAAGAAAACATGTTTTCCAAGTGTAGTAGAGGCCAAATAAAATCGATCATGGTATCGTTATAAGCATTCAGTTGATAAATGTGAATAGAATACGATAAGTGTATGCACTTACTATTCAGTTTGGCTGCCTTGGTGTTGAGCTCCACGTAGCGCTCGAATTGGGATCGCACGGCGGTTCCGGCCTTGTCGTAGAACTCCCGCCAGTAGTAGGCGAGTTCCTCGTGGTCGCGGCTCTTGCTGAGGACCTCCTCGATGTCCGGGTCCAGGGCCAGGTCGCACTTGGTCTTGTCCTTGTAGTCGCACACCTTGACCTTGGCGAAATTCGACTCCATGGCAGAAACCGTTTCCAGGAATTCGGCGTAATCGGCTTCGGGGAGTGCCGCATAGCCCAGTTTGGTCAGCGCTTTGAACTGGCGCTTGATGTCCTCCGACTGGAAGCTGCGCCAGTGGAACTTGTTGGTGTCACTGGCCACCTCCTTCATGAACTTGGCCACCTCGGCGGAGATCTCGTTCTTTTTTCGCTCGTTCTCGTCGGTGATGTTGGAACCATAGGCCCAGGCAGCCTCGGTTTCGACATTGGTCCGCTTGGCGATCTCCTTGTTCAGATTTTCCAGATACTCCTTGGCCTGGATCTCCTCCTTGACCAAGGCTTGCGTCAGCTGAAAACCAGAGAGGACCATCAGTCGCATTCATGACCCATCTGATGCCCATCTTTGAACTTACCGCCAAAGTAGCCAGCAGGGCTAGCAGAAACAGTCTCATATTGAGATCCAACTTTCTCGCCTGGAAATTATAGTAAGCATTTTTGAATTTTGATTAGACTCGTTCCTATTCCTATTCGACATGTTGTTATGCCAATTCGATGACGTAGTGTGCCGAGATGAGGTCTCCCGCGTAATTGATTAAAATGTCTCATTTTCGGATGACTTTGGGGTCAGATCGACACGCCATATACTATATACTATATATACTGCAGTGAACGTGCGGAATCGTTAAAGTTCGCAAGAAAACACTTGAATTGGACAAGTAAACCAATAAGAGATAAGATATTCCCATTGATTGGCTTTTGGTAATCTGATACAAAATCAACCTATAAAGCAGTAAGTTGTAAGAAGTAAACTTGTGGTTTTCTTGCTAGGCATTTATATAATTTAATGTTATATCTTGAATGCAACCTAAACAAACATCAGGTGCCTTTTTGGGCAGGGAAAGCCCTAAACAAACTATACACACAGATGCGTATCAAGATCATAAATATCGTCGATTAGATCGACTAACCACCGCAAAAGTGTGTGAGATATTTAAGAATTTACAACCATGTCCACCGAAGTGAGTGCGGCAAATATTATGAGATCCAAGCCGTGTATTGCATGATCCAGATAAGATTATCAAGGGATTTAGTGACTGGTAAAATCGAACAGCCATAAACCACGAAACCGTTCGCAAAGCAATTATATCATAATGAGCAAATGAATTGCTAATGCCAATTACGATCCCAATTAAAGGTTACTAAAGGCTATTTGAAAATACACTAATTGCGATCAGGGGAACGACTGACTTCAAGTTCTCCAAATCCCAAAGCGAAAGAGAAACTTACGTACAAACTCACTTACGTATGTACAATGTTTTATTTTCCGAGCAATATCGAACGTGACCGATCCGCTAGCGGTCTGAACTAAAACTGAGAACGCTCGAGTGACAATTCGTGAGTTTTATAGCCAAGCCCAGAGAAGCAGTCGGAGAATTGGCCGGCAAAGTGCACTTAAAGAAATATTTAAGAAAAATAATAATTATCAGAACTCACGATTTTTTAGGTTTTTTTTAAAGCAACTTTTGTTTTTTTTCTGATTTTTATTAGATTTCAAGTGTGTTTTTTTTGTTTCCCTTGAGCAAACTTACTCCGATATCAAAAAGCACTTGGGATTTGATGGTATTTTCAAACTAATCGCAATAGTAATCTCCAGAGGGTTATGTGCCATAGCAAAATGAGTAAACCATAAAAGATTTAATGTTTTTAACATTTTTTATAGAAACCTTAGTATTTAAAAAAGCCTCTAAAGACACCCCTATGGATTGGTGTATTTAATTGTTAGGTAAAATCAGAAATAATTGAAATTACTTCAAGGAAACTATGTTTCAAATAAATGTATTAAAAACATCAATAGAGACATCGAATATTATTAAATACAAAAAATGTAAACGTAAAACAATGTTTAATTTAGCATTTGAGCTTATATTATTTTTTTTTAATCGAATTGTGTCTTAAATAGTAAATCAACATAGCTTTAAAATATCCAAACGTAACACACTGCTCAATTTAAGAACTACATATTTTATTTTAATATTATTTTTTCCAAAGTTGTATTGTAATTGAACTTGGTAAATCAAGAACTGAATTTTTTTAAGTGTGTCACTGCCTATCTGTCCCTCGACGTGCCCAACGCTAATCGAGTGACCAAACGACACAAAGTCGTCGAGAGAAATGTCCGATAAACGAGAACATTATTTATTTTTAATGCGAGCCCGGCTTAGCCGCAGCTGAGGTCTCCAGACGGAATTAAGGTTCTCGGCCAGGTAAGAGCGAAGATAAGCCGACATATGGAAGATCATTAGTATGCCTGACACATTTCTTCACATTTGGCGGCTTCATTGGCAAATATTGAAGGCGCCTCAAAAAAAAAAAAGAGGTGATAATTTGTATTATTAAAATAAACTAATGTGCATGAATCTTTCTTTGTGTTACAGAAAAGAGAATTTTGAGGTGGCGAACAATGCCCTTTCTTTAACAACAGTCAAAAATATTTTTTTCTTTTTAGATACTGGGCATAGCTGCATAGTCTATTATTTAGGAGTTAATAATTAAAATACATTAAATAATTTAAAAAAGAAATGTATTCTTATTTTTCAATTTTTGTTTGTTGAGTCTAAAAACCAATGAACTGCCTATACTAAAAATATATGTTTGGCCTCAAAATTGTTAGCTCATTGGTCAAAAGCTTTGGATGCACTGGCCACATAAGATATATTTCACTGTTGCACGCGGCAGCGAAAGAAACGGAAAAGCTGATAAGAAATTCGCCGTGACTATGAATCGAATCGTTTTTTTAAATTTTATATATTGTTTGAATAAAATATAAATGCATAAAAACGCTCTTTAAAAAATTGAACCAAAACAAAACGTACAATAGAAATGTTCAAACCAGAATTGTTGCACTTGAACGACTTTGCTTCGAAGAAAATTCAAAATTTGCTTTTATTAATTGAGTTTAATCGATTACCTGTAAAATATGTGAAAATAACATCCATTTATAGACTTGGAGCTTTTAGTGTAATGTAAAATGTAATAGATCATTTCAAAAGCCCGCCGACTACAAAGAAATCGATACAATATCGTAATCGAAAGCTGGTTTTCCAACACTAAAAAGTGTAAGAGAAAAGTGAACTTTAATAATTATTACTATATTACTCAAGGTTTCTCAAATGGAAAATTCCAGCGAAGGCGAAAAAAGTCAGACTCGAGGTGGCAATTATGAGATGGTAAAATGGCCGTTAATGCTCAGCATATCGAGTCGTGGCATAGGATTTAATGTTGCAATGACTGTGTACCGGGGAGTATCGCAATCTTAAGCCCTATGGACCCCGGATATCTACGCTCTATATCGCGTTAGCCTGGCCGCTTTTGAAGCCAAGTTACGGCGGGTGATGGGGGCTTTTCCAACGATTTGCCGGTATATGGAGCACGTTGCATATCTCAAAGTTGATCCAAATTTTGAACCCGCAAGTCTTAGCATTCAACTTCCGGAACCGCTTAGAATGGTGATTAATTACGTGGGCATATTGCAGGCCAATGATGTTACTTACCTACCGGTTTTTCCCGCCGATAAAGTCGACTCCAAGGGGCACTTCATCCCACGCGCCGAGAATGTGATCTACTCAAATCTACGTAGAACCGTCGTGGCGTTGGCTTCGCCAGAAACTCCATTGCCGTACAGGATAATCTTTGAGCAGGACAATGCGATTCCGGGAGCCATTTGGAGCGATCATGTCCTGCTGAATGCCGACGAGATAATTCCTGAAGCACATTCGGCTGACGATCTCGACAGGGATTACCGGAATATAACACCATGGCTACATACCTTGCAGACACTCGCTCCGAAACTCTTTTCTGGAAATCTTACCCTCGACACAACTGGCAATAAAGCCATGTTTCTGTGTAATTCCCAAAATGGCCTACGAATACCAAATGATCCTATAGACTTTCGTCTTGAGAAAACTATAGATGATAAAGCTCCAGCTCTTGACATCTAATTGACTTAAGTTATTTTTTGATAATTTTTTTGTTCATTAAATGATATAAACCAAAAACCCTCGAAACCGTTTTCCACCAGACCGTAGTTTTAGCGACTGTAAATAGTTGCATTTACAAATATTTGCGATTAACCATGTTTGAATATTACAAAATACTTATACTTATGACCCTATGAATCTTATGAATATCAGACTGTGGCTTATAATTGCCAAATTCTTATACTAGTATTTAAAAAGCGCTCCGATCACAAAATAATCGATAAATCACCTTCATCGATAATTGATAACCATCGTTAGCCAACACTGAAAAGACCGAGGAGAAAGTGCACGATCAAGCGGCATGACACGATATAAGTATCAAAACAACCCAGAAAAACCAAATCCCCGACACTTTTCCCAACACAGCTGGTCTCATTTAGTCAGAATTTTTCAAGGATTATTTCCTGTTATTTATGCAGGGAGCAGCAGGCCAGCCGAAATTTTATTAGCGTTCCATCATATGTCGCAAGCGGAACATTTTTGCTGCGCAGTCTGACCGTGTAAGCGCCATTTTGTTGTTCAACAAAGGAAAAGAGCGAAAACGTGAAATTTGCAGAAGCGCACGCACAACACAACAGAAACTGAATCGAATAAAAGGTAATGCAAATCGCGCAGGTAATCCAGTTTTAGTTTTTTCATTCTACCTGTGTGCCCAAGTGCAGCTGCCAGGAGTGCATTGCATTGGAATATTTCGCAATCTCAATTGCAGTATCGAAAATACCAGAGCATCGAGCAGATGCAAAGTGGATGTATGTGTGTGTTTAATTGATTATTCAATAAAACGAAACTACGCCATAATACATACTCTCCCGCACACTTAGACACAACGCGCATGTGTGGGTGTGCGTCACAAGTTGAAACAAAAACAAAAACAGAGCCGTAAAATAAAGTAAAGAAATTTATTTCGAAAAACAATTCGTCAGCAAAAAATCCGGAGGGGAATTCGAGAAACAGCTGGAGGAATCGGGCATCGTGTTTTTTTTTGTTTTTTTGATTGTTTATCTCCCGCCTCAGAGTTGCCAGCTGCGGAAAAAACCAGCTGCGTGGATATTAATATTGTTAACCTTTATTTTGCAGTTCCTCTTGAAATGGAGGCGACACTCAGCTCGGGAGGATCGAATACCTCCAGCGAGTGCGCCATGGACAGTGGTACAAACCGCTGTCGGGGATTGGAGCCCAATAATGGCACCTGCACCCTCAGCCAGGAGGTAAAAGATCTCTACAGGTAAGAAAACTATGTTGTAAACGATGCAGCGGCTGTACATGCCCCGATTCATGTCAGTACATGCAAGGATTCAGGTCTGCACATGCAAGCATTGAGATTGCCTCAGGGAAACTACCGCTGCACCGATTACAACCAGCATTCCATAGAAGAAATCACTGAAGTAAAGTATCAAACTCCCCAAACAGATCCCTCTACACCGCCTCCAAGCAACTGGACGATGCCAAGAAGAATGTCCAGACCGTTGGCCAGCTGTTCCAGCACGAGATCGAGGAGAAGCGCTCGCTGCTGGTGCAGCTGTGCAAGCAGATCATCTTTAAGGACTACCAGTCGGTGGGCAAGAAGGTGCGCGAGGTGATGTGGCGTCGTGGGTACTACGAGTTCATCGCCTTCGTCAAGAAGACCTGGCACAAGCAGGGTCAGGATGCGGCCAACGCCCAGGAGAACATGCAGAAGCTAGAGCGATTCCTTTGCGCCGGCATCTTCAACTACAAGAGATTGTCTGCCCGCATGGAGGAGATTTACGACCTGGACTTGAAGTACTTAATTGATTTCTCCATCATCAGTGATGGCTACATCAGCGACATGATCGGGGACACCAAGGAGGCGTCGCATTCGGGCACTCAGGCGGTGGATAAGAGCCTGGAGGCGGTGTCCTTTGCCCTGGACACCATACACTCGTCGCTGCTCAGCCTGGGCGATCTGCATCGCTATTTCCTCGACTTCCGCATCGACAGCAAGTTGAGTATTAGCAAGGAGCAGGTGGCCAAGTACTATCTGGAGGCCTTCAAGCTCAATCCGGCCATTGGCATGGCCCAGAATCAGTTGGGAACACTGTACTACGGCCAGAATCATGATTTGGACTCCACATACCACTATTTGTACTCCCTCGTGTGCATCATACCCTTCGAACTGAGCGAGAATAATCTGAACAAGCTATTTGGCAAGCACACGGAATACCTGGAGCAGATGGATCCCGAGAAGCTGGACTTTAGCATCGAGGACTTCTTCGCCCGGTTCTATCTCATCGTGGACATATTCTTCTTCGACAAGGAGGTGCCGGACTTCAACGCCCTGTGCCACTGCGTGCTGATCGATCTGCGTAAGATCCTTTGCTCCCAGCAGCTGCGCGTTCCGGAGCCAAGTATCTTCAAGATAGTCTCCATTCTGTTCTTCTGTCTGTCCAAGCTGAAGATGATCAACTCACCCAAGGTCTACTCGCTGCACGCCTTCCTGGTGGCCGCCTGTTCCGATCTTATGGACGCCTGCATCGTCAGCATCGAGCAGACCATTTTGGCCCGCGCCCAGGACAACGAACGCTTCCAAAAGGAGTACGAGCAGCGTTTCCAGGAGTTCGACACGGTGGTGCGCAAGTCTCGCAACGAGTACAAGAACTGGCTGGCAGCTGTGGGCGAATGTGAGCGCAAGGACAAGAAGATGATGCCGCGACCGCATTCCCTCAAGGACTGCAGCTCCGATTCACGCGACAGCCAGCACTCCGGCGAGGAGGCAAAGACCCAGGAAGCAGCCGACGGCGACAAGATCGGCGAGGCCGTCTCCACCCGCTCCAGCGACGAGGCCAAGGAGTCAGACCTGAAGACCCCACTCTCCTGCAAGAGCAAGCGTCGGGGAATGCGTCTGCGCCGCCGCCGTCGCAAGATCGCCCAGTCGGACGACAGCTCCTGCTACGACAGCGAGAGCGAACTGGACACGGACTTCTACAGCGACGAGGAGGACTACACAGATCTCAGCTCGAACTTCGACACCGACTTCAGTGACATCGATGCAGCTGATCCTGGGGAGCAATGTGGCGAGGAGCACTATGGAGCAGGTGAGCGAGCATTTAAATCATGTTGGAGTATATTTAACATTAATTAAGAATATATATTGACTGTTAAAAACATTTTGGTAGTTTTCGGTAAAAAAAATGTTTCGAAAAATGCCATTTCTTGTAAAGTTACTAAGGAAAACTCCTTAACTTATTACATATCTATTTTCAGCTTCATACAACAAGAAGGAGCGCAAGTGTGGCGGCGGCTTAGGAGGTGGCCTAGTTTACTCGGACAACGAAGATGTGGTCATTGAGGAGGAGAAAATCGTGTATCCCGAGGAAGTGGAGCGCAGATCCAACTCACAGGAGGTGGACTCGGAGGAGTTGCTGCGTAGCTTTGAGGTGCTGCAGCTGAATTTCAAGAGCGCAGAGGAGGCACAGACCAAGCAGCCAGTGGAGGGTGTCCAGACCGCTCCGCCTGCTCCCGTCAGCTTCTCGGAGCCGCCCAAGAAGCTTGTGTATCGCAACAAGTACACCAAGATCAATCCCAACATAGTCATCGACTGTCTGCACAATGAGCCGACCATCAGAGCTCTGAAAATGCTGTTCGACTGGCTGCGCATCAACCCCGAGATCCTCATCGGTTGCTACCATTCGAATCCGGAGTTTGTGCACAAGATCATGAAGCTGCTAAACTACTGCAACATTGATGTCTTCACCCGGAAGGTTTACTTTGAGCGCGAGCTTCTGACCACCGCCAATGTGCGCGATTCCCTGGTCGAGCTGTTCGATGTGCGGGCCAATGTGCCACTGACCGAGGACTTTGCCTTCAAGAACTTCGACATCTTCCAGAGCACCCAGATCACGCTGGACTGGGAGACCATCATTCGGGAGCGCGTCACTCCGCATGAGGAGTCTATACTCCGTATTTTCAAAATGGTCGACTTTGGCTTCTTCATTTGCAAGCAGAAGAAGTTCAACTACAGATTCTGCGTGAAGACGCGCCGTTTCACCGAGACCCAGAAGAAGAAACAGCGCGAGGAGAAGAAGGGTGGCGGCTCCCGTCGTCGCGAGCGTCGCACCGCTCCAAAAACCAATCGAACAAAGCGGAACGAGGGTCGCACGCGTCGCTATTCGGATCGCAAGAACGGCATTGTCCGCAAAAGCTACACCAGCAATGAGGAGAAGGACACCGTGGAGGAGTGCCGCAAGGTGCCGCGCAAGGGCTACCTACGGAATCGTAATGCCGAGAAGGCGGCTGCGGTCATAGCCAGTGCAACGGGAACCTCCGTGGCCGGTGGAACATCCGCCTCCACGACCACAAACAGCGTCATCGAGAAACTGAACGTGCAATCCAGCTCGGGTGCGGACGAGGAGCGCTCGGAGGCCAAGTCGAAGAAGTGTGAGCTGATGGGCAAACTCTGGCTGCAGAACGAGGTGGAGACACTGGAGGAGGAGCTGCGGGACAGTCCCGCCCATGTGGTGATGTCCCCATTCGTTGTGGTCGATTCGAAGGCATTGACCGAATACAATGGCATAGTCAAGTCGTTGGTGAGGACCAAGAAGTGCATTGTCCTCATCCCGAATGCAGGTGAGTGCGCCAACCGCAGGGTGGGGCGCTTAGCTTGACACAAAATCACCGATGTGGAAAGTCACATTTGCCCAACACAATGGAGTGTGGCCTTAAAGAAACTTTAATCTTTAGAAAAACTTGTACAATCTCTAATTAGTTTAGAGTACGCTATTTTATAATAATCCAGACGATTAAGTAGTTTGACTACTAAGATATGAGGACATAACATTCGCATTTGCCGTTCCCAAAGATTTTTTTTTGAGATATGAGTACAAACATTTGTTTTCTAATTCAACTGTGTCTATATATATATGAAATCACCTTAACCCACACCCAAAAATCCATGCTAATCGACTATCTTTTACCACTTAGTGCTCAATGAATTGGATGACTTGAAGAAACGCAGCGAAAATGTTCGCCATGTCATCCGTTGGCTGGAA